TTTTTCTTCAGGGACCTCAAAAATTGTTAGGGTGCTTCTGATATGCCCATATAAACAGTTCCATTTGCAAGTAAGGAACCCTTTCTTCCAAGAGCCGGAGGGACCCAACTTACGCCATAGCTTGCAACTCCAACCAAAGTCTTCAACAGCTTGGAAAGAGAGCAGTGCAAAGTTCAAAGTGCTTCAGAGCGGAGCTAAGGAAAACTAACAAATGCCTTTCGGGGTCAAAATGAGCTCTTCTTTATGTGGCATCACAGCTCACATGGTGGAGACAAAAGGGTGTACTTCTGAGGTTACACAGACTAGAATTTGACCCTGGCCCCACAGCTCCTATCCAGGTGTCTTTTGGTGAGCCAGCTGGCATCCCTTCTTGAGCCTGCCTACACCTGTGTCCCCAAGCCAAAGTGAAACTCAGCAAGGAAACAGGGAAAGCTGTCAGCACTCCCTCTGACCTGGAGGAGCCGCTAATTCACACTGGCTCTTTCCTAGCCTGGCTCAGAAATAAGCTCAGGTTTACGTTAAAGAGACAGGGAAGGATGTATCTCAACCTGGCTAAGACTTCCCTATTTGGAGAGCTTGTCTACAAATGGGCCCTGCAGGCTATACCAGATACAAATTGTGTGAGAGTTTATAGGTATATCTGCCCCATCACCTGAACAGAGACATGCATCCATGGGCTGAGCGTTCCAGGAGGCAGGAGAGATGAAAGACACAAATGAGAAGTCTCTAGAGGGAAAGACCCTTGCCTGTCAGAAAGCTTGTTAGGGCCCTGACGAGGCTCTGTGCCCCTCTTTTCCACGCTCATACCTAAGCCTATTGCCTGGATTCGCACATGTGTCTGTCCTCCCAGTTCTGGCCACGCCTGCAGTTGGAGATGCCAAGAGGATCTGCTTTGGTTGAAGCAGGCTCAGGGCACATCATAAATTCCACATTGTGGTCCCACTTTTGTGACTTGTGCAGCCGAAATTTGCGGAGTCCTGAGGCTTGAAGCTTTGGAACGTTTCAGAGAAGCCATGAATAAAGTAGAGGTAGAGGTGGGGCTGAAGACTGTCCACACCAGACCTGATATCACCAGGATAATGTCCTTGCACCCCTTCCCACAAGGAAGCCGGGTGCGACTTCTAGGCAGATACCTCAGCTGGGTGCCCACAAAGGCAGTGAACTGTTTGAAAGTGATGCTTTCGTGGTTTTACTCATTCCTCTCTAGGACAGGTATGACAGCAAGGCCCCCATTAGGAACCTAGTTTTCTGAGTTCAAGAAAAAAGCTAGCTATCAACTCAATAAGAATTACAGGTGTTTTAAAAAAATATCCAGTAATTGGTTTACCTGCTGGCTGTACCTAAGACTTCAAAATAGAGACCAATTAAAGGTTTACCCTGGGCCGTTTATCATGTCAGATTATAGAGCTCCTTCCCACAGCTTCTTTGCTGGGACCGATAAATGCCCCCCACAACAGCAAGTCTCTTACTTTGTCAGCGATGACTCAGTCTCTTTGCCTTTAGACTTGTCATCAACATAGCTGTTGTGAGCAGCCCATCCAGTGAAGATTTTCTTTTTATCTCAGTATTTAGAGAATCCCATTAGGGCCCAGGCTCTGGGACTGCAGGATTTCCATCAGGGCTTGTCCTTTATAACACCCCTGGATCTGTAGCTGTACCCTGAGGTTACTTGATAGTTAAGCCTCCTCCCCTTCAGAATTTGCTGTGTTTTGTGGTCACTGTGCTCTGGGCTTCAGTCCACATTGGATGTTCCCATCCTCAGATGCTGTGGACCAAAGCATGCAGATGACTGATGGACTAGAGGCTTTCTTTCTCTCCAGATATTCTGGCAACTCTTGGCAGAACAATCACTCATAAAAGACACGCAAGGGATCAAGCACCAGGCAGCATTCAGAAAAGCCACTGCAAAGTAGATTTGGAAATAGAAAAACAAGGAAAGGAAACAGGACTCTCGCAGGACTGATAGATGCATTTTATAAAATTCAAGTATTTCTAAATAACTTGGCATGAAGTTAGGGATCAAGTGATACTTGTCTTTTTCTTATTAGTTGGTCCCCAAATTTACATTTCTGTGTGGTAAGGTTGCTGAACAAATTAATATTTGCATACAGAGATGCAGGCAGCTCGGCTGTCAAACAGCTGCAAACGCTTGCAAAGACTTGGAGCTCCCTCTCTGATTAGGGCCTGCAGTTTTGCGTTTTATTCCCCAAACAGACACTCACTCTGACCCAGATCACTTGATGATGAGGGTTAATTCATGTTTACGCTTTGAAGATCAGAGAGACCAGAAATGGCCACCACTTCTTTTTCTATTTTCATTTAAAAACTTTAAATTTTAAAAACGAAAAACCTTTAAAAATGCATAATATTCTGAATCCATGAAAGGAATTTATTCACATTTCTGCCACATTAAATGTTAGCAAAGTTTATATTGGACTGTCGTATTTCTTTACTTTATTCACTAGCATATAAGACATCGATCTGAACATCTGGTTTTTAATAACCCTCGACATCTGGGAGCTCCTTTTTATCCCTATGGTGGATGAGGAACAGTAGCAATAATATTGGCAGTGTATATTTTCAAGCTGCAACTCCTGTCTGTTTCAATCATAATTAATTACCACTTTTTAATATAGTTAATTTGCTAAAAGTGATTTGCATTAGACCACATTTCACTCTTAAGAAAATAGTGGTAGATTTTGGTGGCAGTGGCTTTTCTTTTTTCTTACTTTCTTCTTTTTTAAAACCCTACATAAATGGATTTGAAACAAACTGAATGTATATACACTGTTAGATATTAAATGCAAAATGAAAGAAACTGCTCTGCAAGTTATTTTACAGCCATTTAGGAAGCAATCACAGGGGCTGTGGGCAAAAGCCTTTTAGCAAAAGCCTCCTATTTGCTTTGTGATTTTGGCAAATGATAGCATCTTTCTGTGCCTAGAGTTTTCCTACAGCAGTGATTTTCGGAGGGGAATGTCAAGAATCTTATGATGAAAGCTAGGACCTTCATTCAGAGAAATATATTTACATACATACTCAACAATATTCTACATTGAATTTCAAGGGGTTGCTAGACCCCTTGAAACCCATTTGTGGATGCCCTAGGATCTCATGCTGTAGACTTTCCTTCTTTATTAACATGAAAGGGAACATCAACTTTGCTTTTCTCCAGAGACAAAGAGGAAATTCAATGATGTAAAAATATATTTTTCCCAGGTCATATAGGGAAAAGGGAAGTTTATTGCCAGGAGCAATTATTAGACTCTTTAGTAATAAATAAACACACTTAATTTTTACATAAGCAGGCCAGCTAAAATGACCAATGTACCTGATTTTTTGCCAGAATATTCCTACCTAAATTGTCAAGTGAAAATTCATATTGTTTTGTCCAATTCAGACTCTGTGCAGATCACTTGGTTGACTCAAGGGGTCATTGGGATTGTTAGCTTTTGTCCAGAGGACTGTGGATCCCTTTGATAGTCTGATGAACTCTCTGTACTTCTTCTCAGAATAATTTTTTAGATATCTAAAATAGAATACATACAAGTACAAAAGAAGCAAATTATATTGAAAGTCAGTTCAAAGACCACACATCTAAATCTGTGCGTAGATAAAAATTACCTTGGCCTGTTGGGAAGATTAGGCTGAACTGTATGAAATTACTATTTTTCTAGGTCAAAGATGTTGAAATATGGACATTTTCATATGATTCAACCTAATATTATAATAACTTAACCAATAAAGATCCAAATAGTGAAAAAAATGTTCCAAATTATTTTTCTTGCTGTTGATTTTCAAAACAAAAAAGCAAACCATGGCAAAATCTGGTTTCTTTGAGGATTCATTAAAAGACACCGCTCCCAAAGTATGTGTGCAGCCAGGATATAGACCAGTCCATCTTACAAGCATTGTTTCCATCCTTGCTGTAAACAGTGAGACTTGTTCAAAACGAGGACTTTGAGATGGTGGATGTACTTCTCTTTTCAAATATCCAATTTCCTTGCCTATTGGCCACTTGATTAAGTGAGGAAAGTGGCCAGAGCCATTTTGGAAACCTTTTCAACAAGAATTCAGACCAAATAAGTTCGTTTATCCATAGGTAAACATAATTTTAAGTTAAACAAAGCTTCCTTTCTCCACGCATTCTACTGAATTGAAAGTGTACTCTCTTTTCTTTGAAACTTATTTGATTGCAAATGTATAATCCTTCCATGCAAATGTATGACAAATGTATGACCCTTCCATGCAAATGTATGATCCTTCCATGCAAATGTATGATCCTTCCATGCAAATGTATGATCCTTCCATGCAAATGTATGACCCTTCCATGCAAATGTATGATCCTTCCATGCAAATGTATGATCCTTCCATGCAAATGTATAACCCTTCCATGGCGTGCATACCCACTGTTACACTGAGAGCAAAACAGACGCTGACAAATAAGAAGACTGCAGCATGTTTAGCCTTTGTGGGATAACCGCCATGAGCTATCACATGCTAAAACATTTGTCCCCCCCAAGTAGATGGAATTGTTTTTTTTTTTTTAAACTCTTCTTCAGCCTTTATTGATATTAATACTTTAAGCTTAAGAGAAATTAAGGGTATTTGATTACTATAATTACTCCTCTGCTTACTTAAAAGGTTTAATCTATTCCTTAGGCATACACAATTCAGATTGCATGCTTTCCAAAAAAATAATCAGCTGCTAATAATGTCGACTAATTTTAATCTTCTAATCCAATCTTGACACAGAGTCAGAGCTGGGTGGATGGAATGTTTTTGTGTGGGTGTTGCCATGGATACAAAACTCGGTTATGTATTTGACAAGTTGGTGATGTGGGACTTAAGTTACTATGGGTTTTCTTTCCTCGATCTTTACAATTAAAAAACAAAGATGAGTGTGCCTTTCCAGTGCATCTCGGTGTAACTAACCTTCTCTTCTTTCATTCCGGTGCTCCCCCCTCTCTGTGCACCTCCCCACCCCGGGCCGGCCGCAGGATGACGAGGAGGGCATATGGGCATAGCCGGGCCTGTAAACCAAAGTTCCAGTTTTGTTTTGAGGGGTGAGAAACCATCTTTTATATCATTTTTCTTAAAAAAATATTGCATTCTAGTGTTGTATTGTGTGCGTGCTCAGTTGTGCTCGCTGATGTCTGTGACTGTGCCCTGTGTTTGCTACTGTGTTCCGTGAGCGCAGAATGTCCGCCTCCCCATCCTTCCCGAGAGCCCTCCCCGCCTCCCTCCCCACCCGCCAGCCACGCCACCGCTCTGCCTTGTTGGGGCTGGGTTTAGCACGATGCGAATGTTTCTGTGTTATGTAAGATGTAACTATGCCCCTACTAGGATTTATACATGCTTCTTAAGGCATGATTGTGGACTCGGAAATTGTCGCAATTCTCCGGTCGTGGTTTCCAGCTGGCTGCTTGCTTTCACCAGATATGCCAGTGTGGTGTGACTCTCCCGTCCTTCTGGTTGTGTCAAATGCTTGGCAAGGAATAAGGAAAATAAAACTATGTATCTTCATGGAGCTGAAGCAGTCATCTCTAAGAAGCCTGTTTAATGGATTGTGCTATCTCTTCTATGGCAGTTCTGAAGAAAACACAAGGATCAAGGCATAGTAATGGTGAATGGGTAACTGTAATTCTTTCAATGAATTCAAAGTATTGGCATTAGCAGGTCTCCATTGAGTATCTGTTGCTTTCTTAAAAATTACACTTCAACGGAGCTTTGTGTTGTAAATTACAAACATTACATTTTTTCCCATAATGTTTTTCTCTTTTAAAAGCTGATTTTTAGCTATTAAGAACCCACCCTTTATTTCTGTCCTGTCTGCATTGTGATCGAATAGTGGCACATGCCATTACCATAGTTATAAATGGAACATTGAACTCTAGCAACTTTTGCTGCTGGGAATTATACCACTTGTATGTACTGCAGGCTATCTAACACTAAATCACACAGTCCCCGGGGTTGAATATGTGTGTGGTTACATGGAATATGGTATTGAACTTGATGCCATTGCATATGACATTTTATTCAGAACGAGAAATGTGGTAGACCGTATGCCATAGTGATTTTTTTTCTGGCCAGAAAGTACCCAACGTTCAGTTCTTTCTTCTGGGACAAGCATGAAATGCCACAGTGCTGGAAAATCAACAGGTCTGGGACAATTCTTTGGGACGGCTTAGCACATGCCCTTTCCCAAGTCTTGCCTTCATATCACGTGGCAGTGGTGCTTCAGGTGGATCTTAGCCAGGAGCTGCTGTGTTTTGCCCATGGGCGATGGTTTCATTGTTGTGTTTCACTTCTTAATTCAACCTGTTGTAGTTCCCACTAATGGGTCCAATTGCTTTCTTTGGTACTGCAAGGGGAATGCACAGAGGGGTGGTTTTCAGATACAACGTCTTTCCGTGGAGTAACGATGGAATGCCTCCTGGATCCATGTGCTGCCAGTAAAGCCTGCTTTGTGTTGACGTGGGACTGTCTCGCCTCTTCTCTCCTTACTGGTAAAGGGAAAGGCAGCACTGGAACTCGCACTCCCACGTGCAGAGTGGTTCCAAAGGGAAGCTCGTCAGTAAGAGGAGGTGGGGAAGCCAGAGAAACTCTGGACATCCTGCTTGGCGAGCCTTTCTCCCTATTCCCTGTCTTTAAGAGAAACATCATATTTACTTGCACAGAAAAGCTAGTGAAGGAATAAATTAATTTAAAACAATATGAAATGAGAAGAAAGGGTTTTATAACACTAAAAAGCAAATAAGTGTAACCCACTGAAAACATGCATGGAATAGGTAGGCAAAGGAAACTTCTCAGAGTTTGGGAGTCGTCTGGAAGTTTGGCTCCTACGTGGGGCTCTTCTGTGGAGCTGCTTCTCCCATCCTAACAGTTCGGGTGCTGGGCTGCACTGCATCTCTCCTGAGTGATAAAGATGGTTATTGCTCTTTCACAAGATTCGTGACAGTGTGCCATTCCCTGAGATGTGAACCGTATTGTCATCTTCAGGATGGAATTGGCTCCTGAGAGCCATAGAAAATCTTGCCTTGCTCAAGACAAATGTAGACAATTGTGTTACATCCCTACCCCCTTTTATTCCTTCATGAATTTCTCCAAATATCATGCACCCCAGAAAACAAATGTCTTCAGAAAATTAGTCAGTATATAATCCTACTTTAATATGTTGTAATAAATGTTATAGGCTTCTGGGGAAAACTAGTTTTCTTTCTTTATGACTTCTTTAAACAAGTTTGCTTAGATGTGCTCAGGCGTTTAAAACCGTATCTTTAAGGATTTAAATAATGAGGCATAGGGAGAACCTTCCATTTTTGAACAGCCGCTGCATGTTTTGCATTGCATTACAATCTGTGAGGCCTAAAGAGACATTAAATTTATAACTAAAGATGGATAAACTAACTGTTTTGAATGTTTTGATTTATGGCCCCTATAAAAGAAACATTACAAGATGTTATTTTACTAGACATCAGTAATATGCTCATAATAGCATCAGAAGGCCCTGAATTGGATCTGGAGTTTTGGTGCTGAAATGAATCATAATTTAGGAAAAGCTGCCCTAAAAATTACAACAACTTGGAATTAGCATTAACAACCCCAACAGCTCCTCCCTTTTTTGCCACTTCTAGATCCTAAGCCCATGCATGATTTATTTGTCTCACTATGGTCATTCAAGGGTGGTATTTTCTGACAGCAAAGTGGATTGGGGAAGTTTGCTTTTACACAGAGTTTTGACAGCCTCTCCCCTCTTAAACCTCATATCTAGGCCCGGCTTTATCAGTATGTGGCCTGTACAGTGCCCAGGGCCCTGCACTTAGGAGGGCCCCACTCTTAGTTTAAAACCTTTGCTATCTCTGTCTTGGAAATCTTAATATTTTTCAAATAAGCCCCCCCCCATTTTCCTTTGCCCTAGGCCCCCCAATTATGGAGTCTGTGCAGCTCAGACCCACCATATTGTCCAATACTATGCCTCCAACTTCTCTCTACTCCCTCCCATCAGCTCGTCCACGTCCCTGTTTCCTTCTGCCTAGGATTCACCTGTGGCCTGCCTCACTGTTCTGGTTTTCTAGAGCCTCCACGGGATCACATTTCCAGCAAGTTGTTGTCCTCATTGGCATCTCTGCAATGTGTATACAACCATTGTCTCTTACCCAAGCCCCTAACCCCCACCCCCCACTCGTGTGCACGCAAGGCTTTGGGTTGTGAACATATGCTCCTGGAGCTCAAACTATATCTTCTAACCCACTTTGCAAAATTCAGAAACAGCAGCTGCTCAGTTCTCCATAACTTTCCTTTGGGGGAAATCCACTTGATGTCGCAATCATTTGTCTCAGCAAATAACTCAGCATTCAAAGGTGCTTTCCTTGGACTCCCAAGAGGTGTCTTGGTTTGTGGCCGTTCAACGCAGTGGGCAGTGGGAGAGCAAACAAGACATCTTGTGAGATTCAGTGCCACACCTGCCTTGACATTTGAATGTCCAGGCTCTTACTGTGAGCTCTTGGAATTAAGCGGACGTAGAAGACAAGTTTTTATTTCTTAAGCCACTAGAAAGGAATAAGTCTTTTTTGATTGAAAACGTATGTAAATTTTAGGACCTGATTCATAAAAGTACAGATGTGGCATTAACAAGTTTTGGCATGGGGCTGTGATGCTAGTAGATGCATCCTGTTCAAAATGAAGAATTGTAGCTCTGTGCCACTGGCACGTGACGGTGTTATGGTGAGTGCAATTATGAATCCCAGAACATCTAGACATGAGGAAGGGGTTTTGACAAATAAAAGTGGTGCTGGAAGTGCCAGTGGAACTCCCTGGAATGCGCCCTCTTAGGAAGAATGGAAGAATAAGGAGGGAAATGTTTTATTATGGCTGGGAAGTTTTTACCTTTCTTGCCTTCTCTTAACAGACAGGGTCTGTGTACTAGGCCTGTGCTTGTCCTGGGCCAACAGAAATCTGGCCACTGGGAAAGAAGTCGTGGAAGAGCCCTGGGCTCTATACGAAATGGACATTGCTATGCAAAGTGAAGGTTTTCTTTTCCACGTCCTGTACAAGGTTACCTACTAGTGTTTTAAATTCAGTTTACAGCTCCTGTGACTGAGGATCTGATATATCTCTTTCTTATGCCATTGACTACTAAGACTTTCATTCATTCATTCACTTATTATTCACTCATTTGTCCATTCTGTCATCAAATGATTAAGTTCTTGGTTAGATGCTGGGAAAGCCATGATGCATAAAGATAGATATGATTGCTACCCTGTGGATCTTGCCATCTAATTGAGGGAAACAGAATATAAATAATTAAACATATGAATAGAAACCTTATACATTTTGATCATTGCTTTGATGGAAACCAGGAAGATACTGAGATTAACATGAGGAACCTACTTAAGAAAGGATGCTCAGTGAGCATCTCTCTAAGGAAATGAGTTGTAAGCCAAGCATTAAAAGAGGGAGAATCAGGAGGCATCCACACCAAGGTGTACGTTTGGGAGGTGGTCCTAGGCAGGCATGTAAAGAGCTGGAGGTGAGAAGGAGATTAGGGGCTGAAGGAACTTGAAGACCATACCTCTGTGTAGAGCACAGAACAGTGATATAAGGATGGGGAAGCAGGAAGGGGCCGGAAAGCATAGGGCCTTTTAGGCCAAGGCAGAGAGTTGACATTTTAGCCTAAGAAAAATGAGCAGACAGTGGAGGATCTTAGGCAGGGATATGACATGATTTGATTTATATTGTAGAACAAGCCTGGCTGCCGTATGGAGGATGAATTGTCATGTCAGAAGGAGCAGAAGTAGAGGCTGTTCCTTCATTTGTGAGAGAATCAATGGCGCTGACCCAGGGCAGCAGTAGTGGAGATGCAGACAAGTGGATAAATTGGAGCTAAGACTAGGACTTGGATCAGGAGGTAAGAGAAAGGACAAAACTGAGAATGCCTCCACGTTCCCACCTGGGGGGCCAAAGCTGCAGCAGGCAATCATTGGGGCTTGGGGGGCTGAGAAGGAATCCAGAGTTCTGTTTTTCCCAGATGTCCAGTTGGGCTGGCCAGTGGAAAGAAGGCTTTTGCCCTATCCTCATTTCCATCTGTCTGCATATCTACAGGGCAACCTCTGGACTCTTATTGCAGTGATGTGCAATAAAGAGGTGACAATAAGATGACAAAGTGAAAGCATGGGTGAAGTCTGACTTTAGGAGTGTGTGGCTCCTCCAACTGTTGAAGTGAAGGAGAGAGCTTGCAAAGATTTCAAAGAAAAGTCAGTAGTTATAGAATAGAGAGACATTGGTGGGGGGGGGAGTGTTCTGTAGAAAAACAAAGCCCCTGAAGTTGTAGGAGGTTGAAAAGGACCCAGAGAGAGGAGAGGGAGATGATGGGGTTCTCACAGTTGCCCCTAAGATCACCAGGCATTAGGAATTCTGCTTCATGAGATGTTGACCACTCTTCATGGTTGGCTTCCCATCTTGAAATTCTGAGCATATTATTTTCTGCAAGAGGAGCTTTCAGTAGTCTCTTTTCAGGAGTTAAGATGAGAAACAACCAGAAGTAGCTATGAGATGTTTCACAACCTCCATGACAATGGCTCTGCCTACCTCCAATTGCAGAACCGATTCCTGAGCAAAGTGAGATGTTTTTGCTTTATCTCTGTCCCCACTGCCTTTTTTTTTTCTTTCCTCCTCTGGAAGATATCTGTATGTTTACATCTTCTGTTCAGGCTTATAAAGGTAGTGTTTAGAGCTATGACTTGACTAGTGTTTAGTAGCTATGACTACTATCTGTAGTCCTCGCGATCAGTAATTCATTCAAAAAATATTTCTTTATCTCAGTACTGGAGTGAAGGCAGTGAACAAAGTACAGTTCCTACTCTGGAGAAATGTACAGTATTTAGACTACTATGCAGACTCAGGCTGGTGTCCGTGAACCCAGGAGGGTTGCAGTCCCCTGGCGTGGTTAACGGACTTGAGTGTGGAGGCATGCACATCCCCCAGGGAGACTGTCTGTGGTCCTCAGCAGGTACTCAGAGGGGCCAGTGACTCAGACAGGTGACGAAGTGCTCATTTACGGAAGACTGGGTCACAGTGTGGTGGGGTGGTGAACGGTGTGGTCTGCGGATTCAGATGGTCCTGAGTTTTGATCCCAGCTCCAGCACTACTTGTTTGGGTCACCTTGAGTAAGTCGCCTTCCATTTCTGCCCCTCGGTTTCCTCTGTTGGGCCAGGTTGTGCACACCCCACAGGGCTGTTGTGGGGATCAGACGGAATGAGCTGAGTGGGGTGCCAGCCCATGCCTGGTGCACGGTGAGTGTCAGTCAGTCCTAGGCAGAACATCACTACGATTGTTACTTCTGGGCCTGGCAGTATACTGTGTCTGCCAGCTAAGGAAAGTGGTTGATACTGTGGGGTTGATGAATTTGGGAGGTGAGAGAAAAGGCAGGAGAAAGGAACATCAAAAAAGGAAATCAACTCCTATGGCCACAGCTACACCCAAGCCAGCTACACATCTTCTGGCTGGCTTTAAAGCATATTTACTTGAAAACACACCTTCTTCAGTTACCTTTGATTTTTATGACGCTTGGGTATAGCAAAGGAAAGTCTGAATTGCTGGAGAATACAGATTAGTCCATGTTTGTAGCAGAGAGTTTCTTTCAGCTAAAAGAAAAATCTAACGAGTAGTATGAAAATCCAACAAATATTTAAGTAACAATTAATCAAGAGCTGATGAATTGGAAGGGAGAAAAAGGTAATAATGTCTTAGTCGCCCTCTTTCTGCTCTCAAGCATTATGGACGCTGAGGGATAGAAGTTTTTAAGCAGACTGGAGTGCAGTAAATAAGGTTTTGTGGGTTTTTCTGGAGCTCATGAGGATGACCTGGAAAGGCGATGCGTGTTGGCTTGGACATGACCACACTCTCAGGACCTGAAATCTGGCTGAGAAATCATAAACAAACAGTGGTGATAAATGACCACGGGCCGGAGCAGGAGGTGTCTAGCAGAGTGCTGCTGCATCCCATCACAGCCTTCCTGTGCCAGGGCTGGCGCAGGAGCACGCCGCCTCTCCCACCGCTTCGCCATTCATTGTGGAGTGCGGTGCTGGTCTGGTCTTGTTTAACCTCTTTATTAATGATCTGTAAAGGGGAGAAAAGAGCATGTGAGGGAAAGCCACAGATGACACTAATTTGGGAGGTGTTGGAAACGCTAGCGAGGTCAGAGAACTCACACAAATGGCCTAAAGAAGGTTAGGAACATGGAGGGAAAATAACAAATCTTGGAGAAGTTCAGATGCTCACATCTGGCGAAAATTAATCTGAGACACAGATATCAATGGGTGGGAGGGGTATGAAAAGCTGAATACTAGAAGAAAAAAAAAAGAGCTCAGTGGACATTGAGCCTAAAAGTCAGTGGACATCAGCCTAAAAGTCTGCCATGGGTGAGAGTAAGGAGAGGCACCCATGGCAGTTAGCACTGTCGATGTTAGCAGGTGACAAGGTGACATGTGTGACCATGTGTGACAATCCTGACCATAAATTGTGTCTTACACCTAGGATATCACAAAGTAGTGCACATTCTTTCTCAAAGGATCATCTAAGTCATCAGAAAGATGGAAAGTGTTTTTAACAATGCAACCACTAAATGAGAGCAGGGCCCCATGTAATTTGGATGTAGAACCAAAACTCCCAAAAAGAGTTAGCATTCAAACATGGCCAGGATGGCATTTTTAGGGGCACCCTACAGAGTTCCTCTTAGGCTACGTAAATGTGAACATGAGAAGGCTCCATAGGTCTCATTCTGAGACTTGTAGACCAACAGCAGATAGTTCTCAGAGGCCTGCTTTGGGGAACCATCCAATTGGTGGGCAACCCTAACCCTAACCCTAACCCTAACCCTAACCCTAACACTCTGGCCAGAATTTTCTTGTTGGTTCAAGGATGGAAACACCAGCCCCATCTCTTTCCAACCATCTTCACAGCCCCAACAGAAGGGAAAAAGCAGACAATATCTGAAGTAAGAGCACATGTTTGTAGCCATCACTAGTTGTATCGATCAGAATGGCTGCATTCCTTTCTGCCATTGAGGAATCAATTGGCTGGAGGCCACTGGCCACACCAAGGTGTCCTTACTCTCCCCGCAGGCCTGCCCGACACATGCCTTCCCCAGACTAACACCATCCCTGCAGGGCAATGCTGGCCCACCTGGTGGCTGCCAGATATTCTCATGAAACAGGTATGGCAGTCACCATTGTGCCTTCCCCGGGAACATGTCTGCCAGAGACTTTGGGGTGGCAATGTGCGTGCCCTCCAGCTTTGTTTTCCAGGAAACACAGCGCAAACGCTAAGAACAACAGCAGACAGCAACTGAGAGCTTCCACCATGCCAGGTCCTGATCCAAGCTGCTCACGTGTTCAGACTTGAGGGGAATCAGTTGGGGTGTTGAGGCCCGTAGCTTCAAAGCAGACCTTGCATTGTAAATGCTGGTCACACTTGCCTTGCTGCTCACAGGGCCATTCCCATGGTGACAACGTCACCGAGATGCCGAGTCTGTATAAGGGGGTGCCTTGCCATTTCTTTCAGGCTTCGGAGCTTCCCTGCAGCCTGAGGGCTGGCCCCGCTCACTGGTGCCCCACTGTGTGCCCTCACAGTCGGCCCCTCCCGTCACGGCTGTGCCGGTGGTCGCAGTGCGGTGGTCGCAGTGCGGGGGCAGCTTCAGATGCTGCCGGTGCCTAGACATTTGCTCGGTGCCTCAGTCACCGCGTACACGCAGAGTGGTGCAAACAGAGCTGCAGGAGAAAGATTGTTATAATCTCTTTGAGAAAAGATCATTTCTCAGTTAAACCTAGTACACCCCGAATAAGAAGGCAAAATCCTGTATGTGGCTAAAAACCCCTTCTCGGTGCTTTGTTCCTTTGTCCACCAGAGGACCACATGGGCTGAAGCTCTGAAACCAAAACGCAAAGATCGCTCTCACTGAGCTTCTTAAGAAACTACTTCATTTTCCCCATTTAGGCCTTTGACATCCATTAGAGACAACTTAGAAAGTTTAATGAGAATATTAAGAAAATCTGTTAAAACCCTCATTCAGAGAGGGTGTCGTCTGGCCGTTCAGTGTGCGCCCTGCGTGCCTCCCTATGCCAGTGTCTCCCCGCCTGCTCGAGGAGGCAGAGTCCAGCGCACCCAGGCTCTAGAGCCTCACAAACCAAGTGCAAATAGTGGTCCCCGCTCTTACCTGGTGGCTTAAGCCTGGAAAGACAGGTAAGGCCATTATCTATCGTGTGGCTGTCATTCCCTCAGCACCACATGCCTGTCTCGCCTGAGGTCTGCTCAGCAGGGCAGCGGGGATCAGGGCTGGGCGTGGGGCGGGGAGTTGCAGGGTGCCCTGGGGCTCTGTTCCTGGCGGTGGCGGTGGCTGCCCCGTTCCCCACTGAGGTGTTAGTGGTGGCTCTGAGCCGGGGTGCTGGGATTCGGCTCCGGCCTTCCCGCACACCTTGGTCTCTGGCGTGGCCGCGGCATTCGAGAGGAGTTGCTGTGCCACCCCTCTGCCAGGAAGCCCTCCGGGATTAGAAAGGGAGTCCCCATTGCCCCGTGCATTGGGCTGCGAACAGATTCTGTGGGGGCTTCGGCTGCTGTTGTTTCTACTTGGCTTTATGATTTTTTGTTATCTCGTGTACTTGTGTGCCCTGGCCCGGGCACTGGCTTGGGAGCACGACGAAAGTCATGTTAGAGAAAATCGCTTTCCTCCTTTCCGTCTGAAGGCCGGGGACACGCCAGGAACCTGGAGCCCAGCTGCTTTCTGCTGAGGGAGGGATGGCTGGCACAGCCACCCGCGTCCCACCAGCCGGTCCCAAACACGAGCCAGGAGCCCAGGCCCCTGGGCGCAGTTGGCCACAGCAAAGGGCTGTCCTCCCTCTCACGGAATGTGGGAAGCAGAGAGGGAGAATGAGGAAGCAGTCCTGAGCCGAAGAGCGATCTTTGTCCCTCCTTACACAACAGGCTGGGACGCAGCGAAATCTGCTAAGTCGGGTGCGGAGGTAACAGCGGGTGAGGGTGCAAGCTGAGGCGTGCCAGGTGAATTTTCTCCATGCTATTATTTTTAAAAATTATGATGCACTAGCATGGTGATGGAGGCCAGGCTGTGACGCCATCTCCACGCTTCGCGGGTGCGTGTGATTGGCTGCCGTGAGGCCTGCAGGAGCTCTCAGTAGCTGGGGGCCGTCCACCGCGGGCCAGGCCAGGGAAGGGTGGGCGCTCTCATTTCTCCCTCCACAGGTCACTGCTGTCCCAGCTAAGCTGAGGGGAAGGCCTTTAGCCCAGCAGCTCTCGGCCTCATCCATTGATCTCAGGGAAGATGCCTTAAGGTCTTGCGAGCTGACACTGCCGCGTCTCCCATCTCTCTTTCGCTCACTAGCAGCCTTGCCGGGTTAGAGAAAATGCCCCGCACCCCTGATCTCCATCTGACCCACCATCGGTTCTCTGAGGGTGGCAGGCAGGGGACGCCATGCCTGTGTTACAGAGTAAGAAAGTGAGCTTCGGACAGTTGAGATTGTCCAGGCATATAGAGGTAGGACACAAGAGAACTGGGACATGACCCTAGTCAACTGTTCCTTCCCCTATAGTAGTAATTCCCTAAGCATGTTCCTCAGAGCACTCACTGATGCATATTAAGAAACACTATTCTTAAAAATAATAACGCAGGCATTCTGTATTCATGTAAGTTTGAGCAAAACTGGATTAAACAGAATTAAATAGGTTTCTTTGTTGCAGGCCTTCTCAGAGCCTTTCATGGGCCAGCTTCCTCAGTCTAGTTGTCACCCTCTGAGCGAG